GCCAAGAAAGTGGACAAGGAATAATATTACTGCCCACATATCTGTTTGAAAAAATAAATGTCAGTGGATGAGTTGACATTATTAACAGGACCTCATTAAACATTTCCAGACTATAGCCTGCGACAAAGCCGCACAAGAACCACAAAGTCATTTTAACCTCTAATAAATCGCTACCACAGCCGACTTGCGGGAAGTCTCTTGGTACAAAACTTCCTAAAATCGGCTCTGCCCCGCCAAACTTATCATACATAGCAAGTACCTTGAAATTTAGGTCGTGGATTCCATTTTTCTGCCACTGTGTTTTGTACTCTTCCTTGTTCATAGCTTGGAGGATGATGATAGTGTGCGGATTCTGCGTTAGGAACAGGTGAATATACTCCCATAGGTGGACGAGGAGGATAGAGTTGCTGTGGAGGAGGCGGAGGATAATACGGTTGCTGAGGTGGGGGAGGGTAGTACCCTGGCTGCTGACTCATAATTGCTAATTCCTTGAAGACAGGCCACTTGGGAATTAGTGCACACCACAATAGTTTCTCGCTCAGCGATGTTTTATTTCAAAACGAGTATTAAGAAGGGAAACGTTGAAGTTTTAATAGTTTCTATGACAAAGATGGGGGCATGTGCAGAGTCTCATAGTAACGCTATGCGCCACACGTATAACCTGGTATACCAACGAGCGACAAGGCTGATGAAGTTGAGTATTAATTTAGAAATTGATGCACAAATTTTCTTGGCACTACATTATATGAGATCGCACAAAGACACCTAAATTGGTCAAACAATAAATGACTTACAGTGACAATTTAAAATTTTGTCGGAGTTTCTATAAATATTTTACATAGATTTTTTGGAATTACGCGTCCATGCGCGCTTGTGCAAATAAGGTTAAATAAATAAATAAATGTCCCAAAGTTCTAGTTATATGACTTTCTGGGATGTGCGACGCAGTTTTCTCGATGCGAAGCTTTTCTTGATGACATAAGTGTTTGGTTTCATCAACTCCGAGAGAGGTCCACGAAATTGCCGACGGAGGCGCACCGCACGAGAAAGTAACTCCTTGTGAGGATCTTTGTTTGATTTGACGTAATTAGCTCTTGTTCGGATAAACCATCGATCTACCTCGCGCTCGGTCATGTTCGTCCACTTTGCCAAGCTCCTTATCTGAGATTTCGTTGGTTTATCGAAATCATTATCAAACAGAAATTTGATGAACAGAAAAGCAGCCCGAGGGTCAGTCTCTTGGCGAGAAGTTTTTCCACTGCTTACCAAAGGTGGCTGAGTATTAGACCTTACAGTATTGTTTGTCGCAGAATGCATTTTCTCAATTTCGTTCTCGGTGAATGAAGATTCTAGAGGCATGGCGTACATCGTAGGTAAGTTTGTGAGCTCTTGAGAAAATTTGTGATGCATATTAAACAATCTCTTATTGAAATCTATTGCTTTTGCGCATAATCCTGTTATGTTCGCTATAAGTACATTTACAGCAAGGCGAGTCTCGGTATGCCCTATGTTGGGTGTATTTGTCTTGTATTCGCTTATCAATACATCTAACTCAGAAAAATCCCTTAAGAGCTCCTCATCATCTGAACACGTATAGAGTTTGTCTCGAAGCGCGAACAGTTTCTGCAAAAGAAAATCGGGTGGATTATCTTGAAACTGTTGTTCCGATTCAAAGTTTGGAAAAGCCTGGTATAGTTTTTGGATGACGGTAACCGTATGGATATCTTGGTTGGTGCTTTCCCTATAGTTTGTTAGGTTTTGGGGGCCTACAAATTCTACTTGGCTATCCAATTCTGTTTCCACTTCAACATTTGAATGAGGCACAAAACACGCGGTATCTGCAAAGTTCTCTTGGATTGACGGTTCAGTGTGACTCGAGTAGCTTTGTGACCATTCATTATTATCTGCCGAAGAGTCAATACGTGTCAAGTCGTCGCTACTAACTATAATCGAGGATGATAAACTTGTATTTGCACTGTAGCTTTCTTTTCCAGGTTCGTTAATACATTCTTTCAGGACGTTCGAAGTCGCACATGAACCCTCAGATATTGGCGACCAGTTGTGGCTCGCTATTGTCGCCAGATCATCTCTTTCGATACGACCACTGTCGAAAAATCTTTCATCTTCCCAAGTCCACGACTGTTCAATTTTGTTCACCTCTGGCGTAAAGAGTAACAATGTATCCGCCTGAATGTCTGTTTGAGCCCCGTGAGCGTTCCTGTATTGAAAATGAGAGCAAAGATTTCGTTTGAATTGTCTTCCCGTCATAGAAGTAGTTAAATTTGTTAAATAGGGTTGAAACCCTTTCTTCACAGTAAAATGTCTGCCAGTTTTCATTTTGAACGAAATTTGTATTAGACCTGTGGGTTTTATACTTGCTCACCTTCACACACGAATGATTATTAGGATCTAAATGGGATTGATGATTATTGTTGTCTTATTCGCTAAGTATAGTAAGTTGAAACAAACGCGTTAATGACTGGTAAAGGATATCACCCTGCATACCATTGTTTCCATTAGAAGTAAGTTACCAACTTACTATGTGGGGGAGTCTGTATAAAAGGTTTGGAAGAGTAACATAGACTTCAAAAGTCTTTGGAATGGAAACTTGGAAACAACGTATTCAAACGTGCGAGAGCATCCAAAGACTCTCCTCAATACTCGGAGATTTACGTTTTAACAAAACAGACCAAATTAACACAGTATTGCAATCCTCTTTACGGAAACAGATTTTCTTTAATTATGGCTACGATACGCTTGCTTCCATTGAAGATAGCTATTTTCTTGGGCTGTTCGAAACCCATCTGAGTACGCGAGGAAATCTTACAACATTGATGAATTCTTCTCTTGAACTTCAAGATCATCCTGTGAATGAAATAATTGAGAGACACTACCAAAGGGCGATAGAAAATGTCAAGACATACTGTGAAACGAAATGTTATGAACTAAAGTTGGCTCTTTTAAGACATTATTTCCTATTGCCAATTGGCAGCGCCAACCATGTACAAAACTTTCTAAAGCGTATTGAAAGATTCTTCACAGATACTTATGTCAACACTATCCACACACTCCGAGGCACCGCTAGGATCCAACTTACCGGACAACAAATCCAGAAGGTTATACTCCTCCCTGAGGTCGTCACCACCCGCTTTTCCGACCATACTACACAAATCCTTGAGGCTTTTTATAAGCAAAATGCTCGTCCTAAGAGATCAGATAAGGTCAAGCTCGCCGAGGAAACTGGTCTATCTATCGAGCAGATTGAGACATGGTTTAATAACAAGAGAAGCCGTACACCAAAGGAGGATACAGGTTTATGTGAGAAACAAGTAAGACAGTTCATATTAGAAATGGAGATTGATTGGATCGAAGAGTTGAAATTAGTTGAAAACAATAGTTTAGCATCCGAAGACACTCGTTGTATTGACAATGTTGATCATGGCTATGTCATTGAAATTCCGCCAAGCCCTGAATTGTCTGGTTCTATTGAAGTAGATAATCAATCACCTTCGTCAGGGACACGTTCTACCTCGAAACTAGTATCGCGATCGAAATTTACAAAAAATGCTCGCAAAATGGCTAGTCCATATGCAACGTCTCGCCCTCGGAAAGGTAAATCTACGGGCATTTGCAGTGTTCGAATGAAAACGCCAACCGTAGAAAATCTACCTGAAAACGGCAGGGCTGGTCCCGCTAGTCAAATAGGATCGATTAATGCTACTTTAATTGCGAGCTCGTCATCCGCAAACATTACTCCTTCACCAAGTAATTTAAAAGTTCGCGTATCTCTTAACAAGGCAACGGCTAGAGCACGCGCACAGCCTTATTCATGTATTCCACCTAAGCGTCTTCGGAAGGCTAAATATCCGCCAACAGACAATGGTCATGCAAGCAACACGTCGGCACCAGCGATTCATATGGCTAACGATTCCTATGAGCAAATATACACTGAAGGATTCTTGCACAATATGACACCATCAACTGATAATGAAAGCTATTTCACAGAAAGTCTGGATGAAGCTTTTGATCGCAACAATCAATTTCTACCAATAATGGAACCAGAATACAATCTTACTTTCTTGGCTGAACAATATTATAATGGTCTATCGAGCGAGCAGTTGGCTTCAGAAAATGCATTGATATTATCACCTGTTTCCGTATTAGACCATCAGCAGCAATGTCTTCGAAACGTTGATCAAACGATAGGACTATTCGATGTACAAGAAACAGAAATATACGACCATAATGTTAACTATCAACTCAGCAATGATGCGTCTGATATGAATCTGCAGAGCTTGTCTTCTAGTTTTCTTCCGTCCGATTGTTTTCAGGCTTACAATCAGTTCACCTGTGAAGGCTTTGACGATGAATCTAGCTCAACACAGTCAAAGTCTACTCAATCAGATATTGACTATCCGCTAGACGAAACTTTCTTATTCGATTCTAGTAATCAAGAAGCAGAGTTTCCTGAACCGTATTTCATTGACACTGTGCTGGCCAACAATGGTGAGTTCTCTTCGTTCACACCCTATGAAGGATTGCTTGGCTTTGGATGTATGAATAACGACGTCAATTTCTCCACCGACGAAACGCTTAATACGACGCTTCAACACAACATATCTGGGTCTGAATCTTCTCCGTGGGTGATATTGACAGATGACGATTAACAACAAATCATGAATTACAAGCGAACTCGTGGAGGAGCTGAGACCGACGGTATATCATGAAGTAGTCCATATGTAGTATACTAGTCGTTTATGAGTGTTAAGTCGTCAACTGTCTACATGATAGACTGATTACCAATGATCTTATTAGGACTGCCTATCATATCTTCCGACGAACTAGTAATTAGTTCTACTAATGCTTGGTTCTGGATGAATTCATGACTTTAGAAGGAACGCACATCGTGAATATGCAAGTTCCGTTGGGCGTGCAAGCTATACAAGCGAAAACTAACATCATATGAGTGCTTATAAACACAGTACGAGAGCAGACCAATGCTGATAGATGCTCGCAATCACATCTTAGAAATCAACATTAAGCATAGATGTTTGAAAGTGGTAGTATTGGGGACTGTACGTTATTTATTAACTCCGAGTGGGACGGATAGGATTCTTGGAAGACAACACTGTTTGTTATCTGCTTATTTATTTATAATTTATCATTATTCCATCGGTTTGCACAAAATAATAGAGCTATATATTGTATTTTTTTTCTTCGTATTTGTTGATCACGTTAAATAAAGCTAAAACTGAACTCATATCAATGCCATATCGCGATTTATACGGTAAAAAAGTTGATGCATAATTTTAAAAATATAGCAGTTAGAACTTGATGAAAAATATGTAAGCCAGTGTCAGACGTCTTTCTTTACTAAAATAAGGTAGAATTTGTTGTTATTATTACAAATCGAATTAATATTTTTATATCTTGGTCAACCAAGGCTTGCTTTTCTTGCATAAAAGTTAATGCCAAAAATATGCATCTTTTATTTTATTATCGCGACGACATTATTACTCCAAGAGTTCACCTTTATACGTGAAAAACCTGGCATTTGATAATAATAAACACCCAAATTTTCTTATCTCTGATACGTGAAGTTATGAATTATAGAACCCATCTAATCAACATAAGAGCAGCTTATTTCGAACTGAACAGCCGGCCCGATTTTTAATTGCCAGAACACAAAATTTTAAATATCTATTACTATTATTAATTATTGCTTTATTAGAAGATGACCTGATGGGATAAACATATATTAATATTGATATTGTTCGCCAGAAACTTTGGAATCATAAAGTCACGTGAACGTAAATTTTACGAGACATACTAATACTTCAGTCAGGAGCTATTCGATTTTGCAGATCAATTCTAGAATATTCAGATGCATTTCTCGAAATCTGATTGGTTTAAAT